ATAATATTTTTTCGTAGCCCAAATACACGTTTAACAAAATGAATATGGTTATGTGCTTAAAAAAAAAAAAACATACGTTTGTCATAAATAGAGTGTTTAAAAGATGATCTTACAAGAGAAGCGTGGAGTGCGCAAAAAAGAAGCATACCACACTGAATTACGTTTGATCTAATGATCGAATCTTCACTTTCTAGGAATAAATCTGAATGGTTCGAAGGAGTGAAAGGTATGTTCATTCAGAGAAAGTAATTTTTTGATTTTTATTTCACAACTTAAAATAGTGCATGCACTAATTAATTGGCATATTTGATACCATCCCCTCAAATTATTAAGACTCAGTCCTAGAACGATCATTAGATCAAAAAAATTCAGGATGTCAGCTTCTTTTTGCTGTAAAATTTGTAATGAAACGGAAGTAAGCTTATATTAAAGAGAATTGCTGAAATTTTTAGAAAGGATAAAAATTTGCCGCTGCTGCTGCCTCGGGGGTAAGAGATGCGCCCTTAAAGTCTTAGTTCCTTTTTTTCATAAAATAATGAAACTTTTTAGCTTACGTGGATGCGTGGCACAACCCTTAAGCTATCCGTCTTTAAGCTGAGAGATAGAGGGTTCAAGTCCCAGCAATGACAGTTAATTTAAATTTTTGGATATCTGATCTAACAAGATTGATGACTATTTAGTATGTTTTATTCAATATTTAAAGCATTATTTTTTAATTTAAATTAACGTTTTTAGAAAATTTAAACATTTAGTTGTGGACTAATTTTAAACAATACCTCATGCGCATAAATAGCAACGTGAGACGCGTAAATGGATTACAATTAAAAAACTGTACATTTTATACAAATGTACTCTTATAGTTCTATTGACATTGTTTTTAATTTCATTTTAATTATGGGACAAAAAAGTTTTAGAGAAAACACAGAGACTAAAAAATATACTTCAAAAAAATAAAAAAGTGAGAGTTACGCAAAAAAATAATTCGTTGAGGAGAAACGTAATAAAATGACTTTATTATTATTGATGTCAATGAAAATTGACAGTTCAGTAAAATATAATCTATGTACTAAAAACAAAATTAGCTGAGAAATTGTACTAATTCTCTAAAAAGAGCGTAAAAGTCGCCTTACTGTTATTGATGATATTGTTATTAATTTTGGTTATAGTTGCTAGTGACATCATGGAAATTAGTGCAGGCTTTAATAGGTACCAAATATATCTTTATGTTGGTACAGAATATTTTCTGAGTATATTTAATCCCATTACAGCTGCACCAAACACTGTACATTTTTATGATAGATTTTTTATGCCCCTTCGAAGATATAAGTACAAAAGAAAGTAGCTTGATTGTGGAAGATTTTAAATATCATGAGTTGCCTCGAGAGGCAGCATTAAGCCTGATGATACTGAGTACAGAAAGTCCATATTTTGATAGGATGAACGATTAAAAATGTGTTTTGCATAATCTAATAATGTAAAGTCACCGAAAAGGGCAACAAATAATCTATATAAGCAAATAAGGAATGTGTGTGTTTGTATACCGGACTGTGGGTATAACGTAAGCTTTAAAAATACGAGATTCAAAATGAATTCAAATGAGTGAAATTGTAAACAAAATACGAATCCCTCTTTTTAGATTCTTATAAATTATATTTTAAATTCAGAGACATTTTAGAAATGAATTTTTTCTTATTGGTTTAGCGGAAGCCATTGCATTGAAATAAGTAAATAGGTGATATAAATAAGCGATTCAGTTTATTCAAATATTTAAAAGACAGCATCAATAATGTTGCTGGCTTATATACTAACTAAGGCAAACAACGTTAAAGAGAACAAAAATATTTATATAAATATTTTAAACGTTGGTATATAAATATTTTAAAGCTCTTTAACGTTGTTTGCCTTAGTTTTTATTTTAGCACAAAGTTCATCCACTTGTGTATTTAGCTCATATACTATCAAAAAAGTTATTTGTTGAGCGTTCTGTTTTACTTAATTATATTTTATATGTTATGCTAGGTTATCTAAATTATGAATGTGATCGTGATAGTATAAGCAAACTAAGTCACCAAATTATTATTTCTAAGATCATCTGAAACCACATGTTTATTTGTTTATAGTTTACCTTTAGTATACCTTTTGAAACATGTTTTTATGAAACTAAATAATTTAAATTCAATGGTAATTGAACTAAAAAGAAAACAAGTTTTGCGCTAAATTTGAAAATCAATCGAGAAATGGAGCTAATTCATTGAGGATAAGCATAAAAAAATACCAATATTTTTTATTGACGCCGATAATAAATTCAGTAAATAACTAATTGAAGTAAAACAATAAGCTATGAACTAAAAGGCGAAATTTATAGAGAAGTGTTATTCAGTTTGTTTAAGAGTGCGTAAGAAATTGGCAAACTATTATTGAAGAAAAAGATGCTTAGTTAAAATTGGTAATGAAAATAAAAAATAGGCTATGAAATAAAAAAATCTAATGGTGAAAATGCACTAATTCGCTACGTGGTACTGCGAAAAATCCCCATACTTTTAATGACATCGTTGGTGCTTAATTTCGGTAATGGACACTACTGACATCAGGATAATTGGTGCAGTCTTATAGGAACCAAGTATACTCTAATATAGATACAACGAATTTTAGTTTAAATTGGGGCCAATTAGAACTGCACCAATACTGTACATTTTTATGATAGATTTCTAACTGCTCTCGGAAATATAAGTGTTGGAGAAGGTATCCTGACTGTGATAAACTTTAAATATCTAACAAGGCATAATACTGTTGCCTTAAACAACAGTACCCGGCATAATACCCGGATTCCCGGCATAATACTGTTAGACCTTATTTTGATGGGATGAACTACTAAAAGTATGTTGTACTTAATCTAATAACGTAAAGCCACCAAGATGGGTAGCAAATAATAATAAATTTTTAAAAAATCATTCAGCCAATATAACTCGATTACTTGTTTTAGGATTTGTCTGAAAATCTTGTGCACGGTTCTGTAGTGTTGTTCAGTACTGATTGTTGCCTCCCCCCCCCATACGAAGAACGGGTATTAAGCTAGTTCTAATATAAATATGCTCCTAAAATTTTGAAATTTGAGTTACTTTTTATTTTTAAAATTGAAGAACAGTAGTAAGTAATTTCAAATTTGAAATTTAAATTTATTTCAATATTGTGATTTATTTACAGTTCATATATTTTTCTTATATTTTCATTGGATACATCTATTATATAAAAAGTTTCAGAACTATTCATGCATTTTAGATTTCGAAAACTTAAAAATAATTCTTTCCCTAAGAATGATCCTTATAATATTGCATTGACAAAATTTCAATTAATACTATAAAAAAAAGAGCTTAGAATTAAAATTCTAAATTTATCATTTTATTAGTACCATTAATTCCATGGCCTTAATTTACCTTGATCTATTTCACTTCGAGACATAGTTTGTTTTGGATGTCGACAGAAATATTCTTCTTTTAAGCTATTAAATCATATCAAAATAGCAGGCGTCCCTGAATGGATAAATTAAGCCGGACGTAGACCAGCGAAAAACATTCGGCGAAAAGAGAAGCACTAAATTTAGCTTTTCTCTTGTTCAGTTAAAAAAGTTCAAAGATATTCACGGCGAGCTATTTTTAATGTGCACGTGTTTCTTGAAAGAGATGTTTTTCATCGAATGCAAACGAAGTATAATTCTAATTTTACAATTGTTTTCTCAATAGGAGTTTCTGTTTTAAAAGTAATTGCAGAACTGAAACAAAAGAGATATTCTGAATAAGTATCAAATGAGTTTTGACTGCCAAACTATCACGATTTCAAAACCTTTACAATTTATGTATAAATTGTTTCTAAACTCAAAATATTTATAAATAGGAAGAGGGCAAATAAATATTTTTTCCGCTTTCACAGTTTTCAAATCGTTAATATTCAAAACTTAATTTTGTATTAATTTCAGTAAAACGAGACATTAAATGCAAGACATTGATTTACATCAAAAAATAACATCGAAAGACCATAAATGTAATCGATAAATAACTTTTTTATTGTATCTCAATGACTCTATTAAAATATTTAGTTTTGTGTAAAGCGCTCTAATCAATTTTGTTAAGTAGCTTTTGCCATTTTCAAAAGACAATCCTGAAATACATTATGTATTTTTTAGAAACATTATATGCAAATTTGAAAAATGCATATAAAGCACTCAAATGGGCTCTGTTGCGATGAATTTACTACTTTCAAAAAACAACCCTGAAATATATCATACATTATGCAAAAACACAGCAAAAATCTCCATTGCGCACGCATAATGAGAAAAATATATAAATCTATGTTTTAATTATTTAAAAAAATCAAACTTCAAATATTTTATCTATATATATATATATATATATATATATATATATATTGGTAACTAACAAATCAAACGAGTGTCAGTACTGCAGTNNNCCAATATATATATATATATATATATATATATATATATAGATAAAATATTTGAAGTTTGATTTTTTTAAATAATTAAAACATAGATTTATATATTTTTCTCATTATGCGTGCGCAATGGAGATTTTTGCTGTGTTTTTACATAATGTATGATATATTTCAGGGTTGTAATAAATAATCCCTATAATATAAATAATCCCTAAAAACTGAAGCGATAAGATATTACTTGATAATAAACTTCATTAGCTTTTAAAACATACAAGCTGGAAACAAAACTCGACAAGTTTCAAGCTCTCAAAAATGAGCTCATATTTTTAAGCGCTTGAAACATGTCTGTTCTTGTTTCCAACTTGTAAATTTTTTAACAGAATAAAGTTTTTTTTTAATCAAGTAATAATAAAGCCTTTTTTTGAAAATCTTGATGGACTGCAGTAAAATTGCACAATGCAACAATAGAGCAAATAAGTGTTTTTGTAATAAAAGTGTTCCCAGTAAATCTCTTCATTTTAATCTACTGAATAAATAATAATGAACAAAAATAAATAATTCGATTTATTGTAAATGAAGTAAAGTTTTGTACAAAAGTAATACATCTAAATAAAGCTCTTTTGTGCGCGTAACTTTTTCAAGTTCTTACTCAAAGAGAACAAACATCTAATGCATCCATGCATATAAACAACTAATCAATAAAATATGCAAGCAAATATTGTTGCATTTAACAATATAATTCTTTGAAAATGCATCCCTCTCTATAACTGAGTTCTTCTTTTTGATACAATTGCCTCAATCACACAGTAAAATCGTAGAACTTATTAGTTCACCCTCCCAGTATGTGTTTCATCTCTCATACTATGGTAAAGACCCACAGATCTATCCTGGCAAAGAAATGAAAAGCCTTTCCTTTCGGGTAATAAATCCATTATATCCGTGACATTCGAAACCTGGAAATCCGGTTTCGGACAACCTTCTCGGTCCGGCAATCCCTCATCACTTATCCAAACTGTGGCAGCACAATTAGCACGAATTCCTCCTTTGATATCAGTGTTCAAATTATCACCCACCATAACGCATTCAAGAGATGAAGAGTCCAGTATTCTGAAACGTAAAAGAAAAAAGTTATCGGTAATTATAAAAGATAGAAAGATCTGCATGCTTGCATATAAACATCGTTTCCAACTCCGATTAAAGTTTTCTTTAAAAAAGAAAAAAAGAAGCAATTAAAGTTAACTTGAATCTCGATATCTTTGAGCTGCGGTGGCTCAGGGATTCGAGCATTCGTCTCCCGATAAGATGCATCAGGTTGGAAAGCCAGTGGTGGCTGGTAGATACGAATCCTGTTCCCGGCTCGCATGGACCACTGTGCTAACGTAAAATATTCTCAGTGGTAGATGGATCATGGATTAGAATCCTCATACCGTCAGGCTAATCATGAAAGGTTTTCGTGATTTTCCTCTCATGTAACAAAAATGCCGGTTAGTTCCATCAGAAAGTAATTTCTCCTAATATTTGATCTAAGAAGATCCCTTGTTTTCTTGGTTGGGTTAAAAAATTCCAAGATTACGGAGTTGAATATTGATAGTCGTAAGCTCAGAATTCGGTCGGTTGCTCAAAGTCAACCGGCAAAACCCCACTGTTGCTGCAATACGTACCAATGTTGCTGCAATAAAATAAAATCAAAATATCGCGAATCTTTGGTACCAAAAAGAAATTGTCCCCATTTAGAAATTGCTTCCCTCTTACTTGGCGAAACGTTTAATGATAAAAACCATTAAACAAATCTGTTGGTTAGTGAAATTTACAGAATGTGTAAATGACAAATTGAATCTATATATATGTTAAAGGGGTTATATTGATGTTGTTAAACGGGGAATATGTTAAACCATAATTCTGGGATTAGACCTGAATGGTATTAGACAGTCTGCATTTTATATGAACTTTTCTTAAGATATACATTAGTTAACATTCAAACCATAATGCCAAAGGCCTGTTTATCTTCAACGTGATAATATAGTAGAAACAAACTTCAATGATACTTCTGATAGAGATTCACTACATGCAAAATGCAGTAATTTCTTTATTTGAAATATTTTAAAGTTTTGCATAGCTTAAAATTGTTATCTTAACTGCTTTAAAAATTTACGTTATTTGAAAATTTTATCTTTACTAATTTTAAAGTTTTTTTGTTAATTAAAATCCTTATATATTTGAGAGTTTTTAGTTTTTTAGAATTGATATCTTAACTTACACATTTTCGTTATTTAAATAGTTATTTTAACCTGGTTTAAAATTTTTCGTTATTTTAAATCGTTACTTTAAACAATTAAAAAAAATTTGTACTTAAACATTTTATGCATCTTTTATTGTTATGAAATTTTTTCACTAAAATATACTTATTCCTCATAAAAAAATAATGGCTTTTGACAAACGCATATTGATTATTGCCTTTAACATTAAGTTCTGAGGAATGAATAAATTGACTGTAGGCAAAATGTAATTCTATGTGTCAATAATATTGATATAGGACAAGCACTGATAATAACGCTTTCAGTAAGAAATAATGGTATTTATCAAATATGTCAGACATGCACTTAAATTACTATGAGAAAACTGTCATTGTTGATATTCATTAAATTTGATATGTATCTACAGTAACATTTACATGATTATAATTTCAGAAAATCCTATAAAATTCTTCCTCTTACAAAAATAAATTTTGTAAAAAAAATACCATTTTGGTGAATCTTACTGGCATTGCAAGTTTTTTGAAAAATAATTTTGTTGTATTTACACATTATTTTAAAAAAAGTTCACCCGGTTAAGTCAATAGTTTTTACACATAATATTATATAATATGCTACAGTTCTCTTATAAAAATGGCCTTTATATGAAAATTATATAAGCAGACGTAAACTGATGCAATTCAAATTATGCGCTTTAAAAAGTTTTAAGGTAGCCACAGTAGCATGAAAATTTGCTTCAACCTTAATACGGGGCCAAGTTTAACCCTATTATCGTGCAAAATGAATCCCTTTGAACTTGAACACATGGTGCAATACAGTTCAACTTAAACGAAGACATTGTTCAATGCTACATTATATTAAGATTTTAGCAACTTTACACCATTTTATGTTTAAAGTCACACTAATGGTTCAGCGCTTATCTAACCAAATACAAACATAGGATTCTATGTTGAAGCAATTTTCTGAGGATAAGATGGAAAAAAAATGACGTTAGTAGAACATATTTGTTTTGAAGGATTTTTTTCTTTGAATAACGTATATCCTATATATTTTAGTCGCAAAAAGGCGGATTCTGCAGTGGACTGATAGTAAAGACACGGTTTGCAGTGGACCTCCGAAGTCGATCATCACTGGCTGTGGTTAGTAAGCTGGTGGGTGAACCCTTTGATCTGCGCACACAGAGACCGAGAGAGCACGGTATCGATCCTAGTTAAACTGTTGTACCGTAAAATGTTCGACTTCGTGCGCAGATCGTCTATCTACCTAAGCGGAGAAGCCATCCCCTCTGCAGAGGATCAAAATTCTGATGACATGTCTTCGGATTATCCTCGGGAATGTTTCCCAGACCGTCGCCAATTGCCTATTGGGCAGCTCTAGTGTGACGTAAATAAAACATATACCTACCACAAAAAGGGGATAGATTCTTCTGTTATTGTGGGTGTATTTTGCAAGACCATGACACAAACAATGCATGTTTCAAAAAACCAAAATTGATAAATGAGATTGTACTAATTATACACAAAATAAAAATGCAAAATTTTTTATATTTATTTCGTTATTTATGTAAGTGCCTGGCTATGAATATTACCTGAAAGCGTCTTCGAAAATGGCAACACCTGGTTTGGAATGTTTCACATCTCCACTCACCACAATAGCATCAAAAAATATAGAACCATTAACTTTTCTAATCTTTTCCCATTGACTTGAAGATGGACCGTTTGTAATTAATCCTAATTTGTAATGTTTTCTCAGTTCAACAAGCATGTTCTGCAAAGCCAGGTCAAATTTCAAGTGGATTGTCCTGGATTCTTTCCACATAGAGTAAGCAATCGATGCCTTGGTCGAAAGTCCTGGTCCCAAAGCTTGCTTCCATAATAGTACCCTCCAAGCATCAACATCACCATCTTCATTATTGGGATCGTGAGGTTGTTCACGAATTAGGTTATAAAACTTATCAACGACTTCACGAGCTGTTGAACGGCGTATTCCACAATTCTGAAGGTATTGTGAAACCTACAACCATAGAAAAATATTTTATTAATTAATATATATATTTTTTATTTTTTTCAGTAAAAAAATATTTAAATATTATTTATTACTCATAGTTATTCTAAAGTTTTTTTTCTCTATATAAATTAAAAACTCGTAGGCACCGGTGTCTTGGATGTTACGCTATACGTTACATTTTCTTTTGCTGTGCAAAAACTATTAGACTTAGAAACTTACAATTGTGAAGGTATGTAGGAAAATGTGCAAGAAATCGGATGGAACACAAACAAACATTCGATTTACGCTGTTATACAAACAAACATTCGATTTATATTTTGAAAATTATTAACTGCTTAAAACTTATTGTAAAAATTACCATGCATGCCGATCTTTAAACAGCAGAAAATAAGTTACAGAGTAGAAATTCGATGGAGCCACTCTTATTTGCTGACATACCGCGAGTCTTTCGAAATTCCAATTTTTTCGAAAGTTCTTGGAATTTTGCATGCTTGTTTTTCAAAAAAATTTCTCATTTTTTCCTTTTTTTTTGTCTCGAATATTGACGATTCACCTATTGTTATACCAAATTTTATTTTTATCACTCGAGATCTTAATTTATATTAAAATAGTTCTTGATGATGTAAAAAATAACAGAAGGTGATAGATTAGCTATTGCTATATATAAACCGGAACATTTATAGTGAAATTTAAAAACTTAGACAAAGAAAATGAAATATGCAAGAAAGATTAAACTTATGCTGTACTATTTGAACTCTTAGAAGTCTCGCTATCGAGTAAAAATGCTTCCCACTCTTTTCTTTGTATTTAGGTATCCGACTAGTTTCGACAACTAAATTTTTAATAGTTAATATGAGATTTTAAAATAGCTAGTTTATCCGCTTTATTATGTGTAAAAACTTATAAAACTAGCAAACAAAAATTATCATTATCATTATTCTCTTTTTTTCTGGCCACTTTTAGGTAAAAGTAAGGCTTTTTTTTTGCATGTACGCTAAGCATTGCAAGAAAATTTCTATAATGTAAAGCAATAAAACCTTTGAAGACTTTATTTAGATAGCTATCAACTATGTTTTGAACTATTATCTTAAAAGCAAGTACTTATACTACTGAGTTAGGAATCAATGTAAAGCAAATTGTTATAAATTTCCGCATATGTGTTTGCGAAAAAACATGCAGGAAAATGAAATTCTACTTTTTTCTTTTAGGTTGTAGTTCAAAACATGTATGCTAAAATCATAAACACTCATGATAAATTGTAGACAATTACTTTAAAAACATCCTATATCGTATTTAAGGTGGTGGAAAATCTGATTTTATGATAAACGCATTTTAAGATTTAAATCATCAGTCTATCACTGTTATCACCTTTCACAAAAACTGCTATAAGCTTGTAAATAATTAGAGTACAAACAAAAGTAAAGTATTTTTAGAAAGTTAAGAATACAGGAATTCTAAATTTATTGTAAACTGAATTTCAGAAATTTTGCCCAAAATAATGTTTTTGCACTAGTCAGAAACCTCAAGTCACACAATCTGTATTCCTTTGGGCTTTTTTTTATAGCACAGATTATCGTTTTTTGTTGCTGCTGTTGCTCTCGTCAGCCATTAAGACAGAGGGGGTGCTATTGCTCGTGTTTTCCATTTATAGTCAAGAACTGACTATACATGGCGCAGCTATCTATATTGCCTATTTCTATATTGCATCTATTGTCATCTATATTGCCACACCCATTTATTGGGCGGACCCATTCATCCACAGATCGTAATTTTGACAGAACCAGAGGACTATCAATCTCGAATTCAGTACCCCCAGAGGTTTAGAATTTTTTTTAATGGAAACATGGAGGACTTTGTGACTCGACAGATTTAGCGTGAACCAGTTACCATTTACCACACGGCGATGGATTCAAGCTCCCATTTTCACAAACGTGGGTCTTATGCCCTGTCAACCGTGCTGTCCCAACCCTGATTATTTTTTAAACGTAATCGTTAATTTTGCTACGACGAAATGTTCTCATATAAAACAAAAACAATTGAAATTTTTTTTCTTACAAATTGTTCTTTGTTTTAGTAAACACTTGCTCAAGCTGTTTCGGGATCATAAGAGAGTCAAACAGACAAGCGCATTCACACAAACTCCCCCTTTTATCATTTTGGATCTCCATTGTTTCTTAAACAAAAATTGCAACTTTGTCCTCCATTTCTAACAATGAGTATTTTCAGAAAAAGTGTTATTTTTCGACAAAAAAGTATTGAGATGAAATATTAAGATAAAAGTTATGAAACTTAGTTCTTAAAGAAGTGTAAATAAAATTTTTTATAAAAGCTGAAACTAAGAATTAGGCACGATTTCGCTTCATGGAAATTATGAACACCATTTCGTTTCTATTGGTCTGTTACTGTATTATAATCCCAATATAGTTTCTATTATTCAATTAAAATACATGAATACATGAATAAAATACTTGAACTGAAAAAGTATGTAATTTGTTTTCACAATAATAAAAAAAATATCTAAATGAAACTTCAGTATTTTTATTTCAGATAGTAGATTCTTTAATAGTAGATACTGTTTGGAGTGACACATATAAGTTAAATGTTGATGGTTCCGGTATTTAGGACTCAAATGGGCACACATTACAAGAATATCCTCATTATATTTCAAGCAAATATTTCACGTAAGGATAGATTAGGGAGCTTTTAGAAATCAAACAGTACTTTGTATCTCATTCATTTCAAAGAGCATCCTTTTCTGGTTAATTTGAATAATTTCAAGAAATCTTAGAAAAATCTTTTATACATATTAGAAGATATTGTTGAAAAATTTACACTATAAAAGGATATTTTATAAAATTGAGCAAAAACGTAAGAAAATGACTCCGATTAAAAATGTTAGTGCGAATGCTATATATGTCATGATGTATCACCGCTACTCCTGCTGTATAAGCTCTCCTTGGACTGGGGCGTACAACTATGGTGGTTAAAATATCCTAATACGAATCTGGAGATCTTTTATTCTCCAGATATACATGAATGGCAATGCATACAAAATTACTGAAAATGCCCATTTAACTACAGAGATGGACCACTTAATGTCAATATCCATAATCTAATCTTTTTCATCTGGAAAATGCTTTCAACATTTCAGTTAATAGAATGTCGTGACAAAATCCACCCTTTAAATGCAACCAAAAAACTTGAAACGTTTTTCAGAAAGAAAAAAAAAACTAGTTTTGTTAATCATTTGTCAATTTTATTTATTTGATCATAGTTTAACCCTTTGACACAGAAATCTCTAAAAGATATTTTATACTTTTTTTTTTATTATTTTGTCTCATTTTAAGCCAAAATAGGAGAAAAATATTACATTTAAAATTTTAATAATTTATAATTATGAAAAACCGCATGAAACACAGCATAAAACACCGGTTTCTTTTCTGCGTTAACAGTAAAATATTTCAAACACGGCCCTTTCCAAACAATAATTTTTCAAATTTGCACTTATTTACAGTTATTTATATTTTAAAGAAACAGTTATTCATGATTGAAATTTCTTTAATTTACGAAATAAATTATTGATAAATTTTAGAATATAAATTACTAAATATTTTTTCCAAACTATTTTTTTTTTTTTTTTGCATTTTCCTTTTAGAATATACATAATTCCGCTAATCCGACAGGTATTTTGTAACTATTCAACAGTTTTTTTATAACTAAAAATATCAAAATATATTTTTACTTGTAATTATAGAAACAAAAATATATAAGGGACACTGGTGTCCTATCTGCGAGTAAGGGTTAAATTGTTTACCTTTTATATAAAAAACTAAAGTAGATGAAATGACGTACGGAGAGGTTTCCTTATTTCTGCAGGAGGTTTTGAATTTTTTATACCCTTATCATGATTATTTTCATAATAAAATTTACTTAATTAAGAAACAATTATTATTAGATCTAGTATTATTTGATGTATAATTTTAAGTAATAAAGGCAAAACATGATGAATTGATTTACAAATTTATTTACAAAATAAAATTTGTGCGAGGTTATAAATTTTTTCGAGCTCTATAGTCGGTAATCCATCTTCATAAATAATTTCAAACTTAAAAAATAGGTATAGTCTCAATTAGAGTGAATAATTCATTTTTTCAATTTTTTTTTTCAATTCATTTTAAATTCAAAACTACGGCAAGCAAATTTTTATCTTATTCCCTTGACCTACACCTGAACTGTTATGTTGAATTATTATTACAAGAGTGGGATTATTATTTTTATTTTAATATTATTTCTTAAAATTTAAATTTGCTTATTATTGAAATAGAATAGATGGCAAGACAAATGCATTTTTAGTAATTTCGCAATAAAGATTTAAAATGTACCAAAATCTGCATAATTATGCATCATAAACTAAGATTTCAAATAAACATGTATATCAGGAAATGGCATTTACCGCAGTAAAGATGGCAGTTTAACCTTTAGGAACTTGTTTAACTTTCAACCTATTTCCGCCCTTTATTCCTGTGATTTTCAATGACACCCATCTTGTTTCTTCAAATCAGTCGAAGCTAAACATATGTAATTTTTCTTTGTTTTGCCTAACAACAAATACATCGTGTGTGTTTTTTTCTTCATTTTCTTGTACATAATGAGCTTTTAAAATAATAATATAAATCTAAATAGTACTTATTTATTGCCAATTAGTGAAAAAGTAATTTCAACTGAGAAAAATTATTTTATAAATTACCGGAATATTGAATTTTCTATGTTTCTGGATCTACCGGAACAACAAAAGCTGGGTAATTTCTACCAAAGCGCTTTTGTAATGATTTCAGTAAAATTAACAATAAAATGGTGAATATAGATAATTTGTATGATTATGTTATGAATAAAACAGAGTGCATGAAATCAAAACCTATTTTTAAAAATCTTGAAAAATAAAAATCCATTTTATAAAGCTGCTTGCCATGCCCTTTATTTAACTTTTTTTAGTTCGTAAAACATAC